CTGCCCACGCCCCACTGCTTTTTACCTCCTTCTTCAACATCAGTCTGGATTGGTCTCTTCTCCATATTACTAGTGAGGAATAACGAAGCACCGATTTCAGAGGCATCTCTGAGGACACAGGGCTCTGTTTCAGACCATAGGAATCTGTGTTGAATTTATAAACCCACCCCCCCCCAGCTTTTTCGACATATAATAACTATACATATTTGAAGAGTGTAATTGATTAGTTTGGACATACATATACACATGTGAAACCAATTAAGAAAATGAACATTTTGATCACCTCCAAAAGTTTCCTAGTGCCCCTTCGTAAGCCACCCCTTCCTCTGCTCCTGTCCCCAGGTAGCCACGATCTGCACTCTGGCACTATAGATTAGTTTGCATTTTCTAAAATTGTGTGTTGAAGGGCTCCTATGATGTGTTCTTTTTTTTTTTTGGCCTGGCTACTTTCACTCAGAATAATTATTTAAAAATTTCACCATGTTGTTAACTATATCAATAATTAGATCCTTTTCATTTCTGAGTAGTATTTTGTTGTATTGGATATACTATAATTTGTGTATCCATTCACCTGTTAATAGATACTTGGGTTGTTTTTAGTTTTTGCTATAACAAAGCTGCTTTGACTGTTCCTGTACAAGTGTTTGGGTGGACATATGTTTTAATTTCTCTTGATTAAATACCTAGGAGTAAATTGGCAGGATCATGGGATAGGATTATATATTTAACTCTGTAAGAAAACTACAAACTGTTTTCCAAAGTGGGTGTTACTGTTTTATTCTCAAAAACAGTGTAGGAGGGTTCTAGTTGATCCACGTCCTTGCCAACGCTTGGTGTGGTCATCGTCTTAATGTCAACCAGCCTAACGGGTGTGTGGCAATATTCATTGTGGTTTTAGTTTGCATTTCTTTGATTAATCACATCGAACGCCTTTCCTGTGCTTATTGGCTGTTCATATATTTTTTGTGTGTGAAATGCCTGTTCAAATATTTTGCCATTTTAAGCATTTATTTGTCTTCTGAGATTTTGTTGTTCTGGATACAAGGTCTTTGATATATGTATTGAAAATACGTTATCTTAGTTTTTGGCTTGCCTTTTTGTTCTCTCATTAGCATGTTTTGAAGAACAAAATTTTTAATTTTGATGAAGTTCAATTTGTCAAATTTTTTTATATTTCATATTTTTTGCGTTCTAAGAAACTTTACCAACTCCAAATTTGCAAATGTTTACTTGTATGTTTTCTCCTGGAATTTGTAGTTTTAGGTTTTACAATTAGGTTTGTGATCCATTTTAGGCTAAATTTTATGTGTGATGTAGGGTTCATTTTTTTCCATATGACTATCCAGTCGATCAAGCACCATTTGTTGAAAAGTACTTCCTTTCCCCATTGAATTGCTTTTATACCTTTGTTAATCAGTTGACCATATATGTACGGGTCTCCTTCTGGACTCTGTATTCCGTTCCATTGATCTGTTTGTCTACCTTTATAGAAGCTATCTTGATTATTGTATTTTGTCATAAATCTTAAAATCAGGTACTGTTAGTCCTTGTTAGTCCTCTAATTTTGTTCTGTATTCAAGAGGGATATTGTCTGAAATTTTATTTTTTTGTAATGTCTTTGTCAGGTTTTGGTATTTGGGCTATATTTGGGCTATACTGGCGTTATAGAATGAATTAGGCCATGATCTTTCTTCCTGTTTTTTGAAAAAAATTTGATAAGATTTGCTTTATTTCTTCATTGTATATTGGATAGCATTTGCCATTAAAATCCTCTGGGTTTTCTTTGGGGAATATTTTTGGATAAATTCAATTCCTTTGGTAGAAGTAGGCTGTTCAGATTTTCTTTTTCTTCTTGTATCAATTTTTAGTTGCATTTTCAAGAAATTTGTCCATTGAGTCCAAGTTGTTGAATTGTTGGCATAACATTTTCCTATTATTCTTTTAATGGCTCCCGATTCTGAAATGATAAACCCTTTTTCATTACACTTTTAGGTCATCGATCAGTCTAGCTGGGAATGGGGGTGAGAGTGTGAGGGGGTATCAGTTTTGTTGATTTTTTTCAAAACACCTTTTGGTTTTGTTAACTTTATTATGTATTTGTGTTCTGTTTCATTGATTTCTGCTCCTGTTTACTTTGGGTTAACTTTGCTCTTTCTTTTTATGCTTCCTAGGGTGGGGAAATTTATTTTAAAGCTTTTGCCTTTGAACGACTTTGATTTATTTTATAAACATTTACTAAGATCTTATAATTCGATATACCAGGCACTGTCGTAGGTCTTAAAGCTATGAGGACAAGTAGGGCAAGTTGCTTACCAAATAGTGGACATCGATATACGTCTACCTGTGTTGTCAAAAGAGGCGCATCATTACAGATTCGTTTCTTTGTATAAGAAAGCTTATATTATCCATCTCCACTTAATGTTTTCTTACACGTTCTCCATTTTTAATTGACTGTCTGTTATTACATAATTAAAAAGCAAATTCTTCCATGTCAGTGACACATTCCGTGTGTCTCGTTCTGTCTTACAGATAATTTATTGTTTGTAATCAACTCCATCAAGCAAGAGATTGTAAACCGAGTACAGAATCCAAGAGAGGAGAGAGGACCCAACATGGGGCAGAAGCTTGAAATCCTCATTAAAGATACTCTTGGTAAGAAGAATTTTGGATAAATTAATAACAAACAATAGCATGTAGTGTAAGATACATGATCCCGGGGGATGAGGAAAAGCTCAGGTGCTCTCATCGTAGCTACTCTCCTTGACAACTACTTTTTGTCTTTTGAGATGTAGCATTCGTAAACGTGTACTGCTGGTTACCACGGTGTTTTATTTAGACATCATCACTGAATTAATTTAACCTTAATAAAGGTAAACTTCTAGCAACTTTAACTTTGGGGAAAATAAAGATCCCTGAGCTGTCCAGCTTGCAGTTTACACTTTACTGGAAGTGCTCGCCTGTTTGTTTTACCCCTAGTACATTTCACAGGATTCTGACAAACACGGCTGTCTGGTTTCCATCTTTGAATAGATTGTACCACATGGGGAAGAACAGAGAGGCAGGCATCTTGGAGTCAGGCAGAGCGACTCCCGACAGGGGAGGGTGGAGATACCTGAGGGAGACAGACACGAGAACTGTAGAGGCCAGGAGCTCAGCGGCCATAGGAGCAAATCACTTACAGACCGGAGTAACCGAGGGCATCGCAGCAGAATGCAATCCATGGAACCCCGAAGCATCATAAAATTGCTTCACCTATGTATTTTATTCTTCAACAGCATTTGCTCCAAGACCGTCTGTTAGAACTGGTTCTTATATAGTCATTGTGTTGAGTGGTAAACTTCAGTTACCCGAGAATTTTCCCCGCCCCACCCTCCGCCATGCTGATTGTATATTGAATCAAGTCACTTAAAAAGATTAGGACTGAACTTTTACCTGAATTTTAGAATAACAGACACTATAATTTGCTTTCTTTTTTAAATTATAAGTATCTTAGAATTGTTTTACATTTCTGTTACTATTTATTCTGACTTCCAGTTACTGTAAATAAATTCACAGGGACAAAGTTTTTTCTGTGCCTACTATGTGCCAGATGTATGGAAAATTAAATTAACATAATGCAAGGTCAGAAGTTCGTCTTGAACAAAACTTTATTTATATTGAAAACAATCTTAGATGAAGAGTGGGTCCCAAATATTACTATTTTCCTAAACAACCACTTTTTACTTCTATGTAGATGAATTCGGTACCCAAATATTAAGCAAAATAGGGAATGGTCATGGCGAATTTGCTTGACTTTTTGTTCAAATGGATTAATGCTATTTTAATGTTAAGTATTTCTTGGTCTTTAAAATCATTTTCAGTCTTTTTTAAATAGAGAGAATAATTTAATATTGTAATAAAAAAAATCTTTTTACTTTCTTAGTTTTTAATTTAAAGGCCACATATGTAGATAAGGTTGTGTGGTCCCTTTATACCTAAAAATCAATTTTACCAGATACAAATCCTTGACTCATATTTTCTTTCCTTGAGTATTTTAAATACGTTTCTCCATTTTTCTCTGGCATTAAGTGTTATTATTGAAAAGCTAATGATTGCCTAAGTTTTTTCCTTATAAGTCATTTGCTGTTTTTTGCCAAATTGCAACAGGACTGTTTTCTTTTTCTTTAAATCCCAATAATTGTACTAGACAGTGTCTTGGAGTTGGTCATTTGAGGTTGATATGCTCATGTGTGCGCTGGGCTTTTTGTCAGGTCGTTTCAAATCTGTTTAGTACCTGACCTGTTCCCTTGCTTTGGTTTTTTTCTTCAAGGACTCATCATTCGTGGGTTGGATCTTCTTTGCTTATATTAAGTATTTTCCAAAGTATATTCACTTTTTCTCAAATCCTTTTTTATCTTTTAATTTCTTTTTATGTTGAAAGTCTTTCTTTCACCTGTTTCTCTTAAAAGCATTGTCTGTTACATTTATTTGCTGCTCTTGTGTTCCTTATAGTTTTGTTTTAATTTCAAGAATTATTTTTTCCTCTTATTTCTAATTCTTTTTTGAGTTTTATCACCTTATTTCAGAGTTTTTCTGTTTCTGATGATGTCGTTCTTTCATATCTTGTCGCATTTTTTTAATGTCTTAGTTCACTTTGAAATAATAGTGGGTTATGGTTTCCATCTATTTTGTGGTCATTTATGTTTTTAGACATACTTTCATTGTCTGTAGGAATCTTCTTTTGTCTTAAAATAACTTTTTATGGGATTTTGACCTTGATACTTTGTTGTTCATTTATACATGAAATTAGTGTTTTTGAACTTTCAAAAGAAAGTTTGGTTCAGGATAGTTTTTCTGATTTCAAACTTCACAGAATCCTGTTTTCAATTATTGTAGAAAGTAATTTTGTATTTGTTCATGAGATGGTCATTCACGTCCAGCCCCAAGAGAGGACACAAGAGAGGAGCAGGAAAAGAAAATTTATCCTAGAGAGACGGAGTCACTCCCACCACATGGAGGGAATGCTAAGGGAGCAAGTTCATCTGAGCAGGTGGGGAGGAGACAGAGAGAAACAAATGAACCAGGGCAAGCGCCTTTAATGGTCGAGTACAGAAGTCGAGTACAGAAGCAAAAGTGTGAAGGGCTTTCTTTGGTGCTTTTGAATGTCACTAGGCCACAGTCGGGTGAGGGCAAGAAGAGGAACTTGTGGCAGGGCCAGCCTTGTCACACTAGTGCACATGGCAGCTTGCTTTCTGAGATTTCTTGTTCTGGCCCCTTCCCCCATTTTATCTGAATCCTTTCGTTCTTTTCTCTCTGTTGTCCCGTCTTGCTCCATTTTGATTCTTATCCTGGCTCTTGTTCTGCGAGGGAATCCTGGCTGGTCAGTCATCTGAGTTCACGGGGGCGAGACTGCTCCAGCCGCTTCACATCCTCCTGTGGGCTCCTTGCACTCACCTCGTACTCACTATTCAGTGGGACAGAATCTCTCAGAGCTTTACCTGTCCTCATGCTGGCCTCCTGTGCCTTCCCGTGACTAACCTATTGGCTATTTTAGACTTCTTTTGTTCTCAGACCCATTACTTCATTTTGACCCATCCCATACAGCTATCGATATTGTTAATACAGCTTTTTGTAGTTTGTTCCCACCCTCTTGAATTTTGAGTTTGTAGAGATACCTTGTTACTTGCTAAAATATTCCATGGGTTTATGGTTTTGCTATTTAATCGTCCTGTTTTTTTCATGGGGAATTGAGGAGATTAAAAATCTATGCTGTCATAGACCCATCTTCCCAGAACGTCCCTCTGAAGCAGTTTAAATGCATCGAGGTTTCTTTTTCTTAACAGTTTGGTAGAACACTCTCTGAAGCTCTCTGGCCCAGTGTGTATTTTGTGATTAACTCTGAAAACTTTCTCTGTGTCCACTATGATAATTTGTCAGATTACATCTTCTGGACTCAGTTTGGGTAATTTACATATTCTTAGAAAATTATCCATGTCCTCTAGGCCCTCAAATTTATTAAAATTGTCTTTGTTTTTAAATTTACTCTGTATCAGTGGTTAGAGTTCCGTTTTCATTTTTTATTTTATATCTACTGTGTTGTCTTTATTTCTTGAGTCAGTATAACTAATTTTCTTTCCAAAGAATGAGCTTTTGCATTTATTAGTTCTTCTGATTTTTTCACTTAAATGCTTAATTCATTTATTTGTATTCTTTTTTGTTTATTAATTGAAAGCCTTCGAGATTTCTTCCAAGTGCTGCTTTGGCTGTATCTTATAAATTCTGGTGTCATATTTTAATTGTTTTCTGAATACTTCGACGTTTTTGACCTAAGAATTGTTTGAGAGAGATTTAAAATTTACTCTTTCTGAATCATTTTATATTAAAGACATCTCTTTTAAGTTTTTTATGTACTTCAATTTTTGATTTGCATACCATAAAATTCATTCTTAGATTTTTATATGTAATACATAGATGGATTTTCTTTGTTAGTCAGTCTGGGAGTTTTTCTTTAAGAGGTGAGTTTAGCTCATGTTCCTGATACGTGTGTATTTTAGTTCGTCATCAAAAGATCTGTTAGGATTTGTTCATACGGCTTTTTTTTTTTTTTTTGCCTTCTTATGTCATTCACTGTACAATCATCATAGTTTCATTTTTGTATGTGTCCTCTGATAATTTGCAAGTTCTGCATTTTTGTCTTTCAGACTGTTATTACTTGTCACCTACCCCACTTTCAGATGCCCTTCATCCTTCATGGATATTCTTGGTTCGACCCTTCTAATCTTAAAACTGCAGGCTCTAACCTGGGGGGGTAGAATTATTTTCTGGGTTTCAGTAGCAACGAGAGCAGAGCACTCATGTGGGATCAGTGTCAAACTGAGGGCCACCCCTGCCCCTGATTTTCCTGCTCCCCACCTTCCACTCATGCTCTCTCTCTTTCCACGTCTAAGGGTACCTTTCATTTTTTTCCCTCAGGTCTCCCAGTTGCCGGGCAAACCTCAGAATTTGTTAACCAAGTGTTAGAGAAGACCGCAGAAGGCAATCCCACGGGAGGCCTTGTAGGACTAAGGATACCGACATCAAAAGTGTAATCCGCCTCATTGGACCACTGGTCAGAACGTCTGAGTTTGTCATGTTATTCACTGTAAATTTTCATTCTGTTTTGCATGTCAGTTTAGCATTATGTAAACATTTACAATTAGGTTACATTGTTTTAAGAACTAAGTAGCATAAGTGAAGCATGACCCAAAATACTTGATTATTGCATTTTCAGAGCATAAACCGTGGTTACAACTGGTACTGGCGTCAGAATCGAAACTCATACGTTTAAATGTTCAGATACAGATTGCAAAAATCTGCTAAAGCAAAACATTGGGGAGGAATGAAGATATCACTAAATGCCAAATATCGTGGCAGGTTTATGCTCTGAACCACACACACAAAAAATTGAGGAAGCATTTTTTTAAACAGTCAGTTTAGATTGTTTTTAGAATTATTGCTTTTTGTTCTCATTTTCCACAACCATTAATCTCACTTGTACATGGCACAACCCAGCACTCATGCCCGTGTGCCATATTAGATGTTCATTTTCCGAGCTCAATATGGTATATATAAATATATATAAATATATATATATAATGTCTGTGTGAGTAAGGAAAAAAAAGCATATTCTTTGTGCCTTGTATTTTGGGGAAACTATAAAACTGGTAATATTTTGTATGATGAAAACCCTAATGAGGAAAAACAAGATAAATAGATGGAAAAATTATGGGGTTTAAATGTTTTTTTGTTCCAACTCTTTTTCAGATTTTTTGAATGTATATAGGACTATGTTGAAATGTAGATATATGCCACAGAGTCTGTGTATTGTATAAAAAACAAAACAAAAAAACAAACAAAAAAAGATGGCTCTAGAAAACTCATATTTCGGTACTTGACCGGAAGAAGACAAATACTTGCACATTATTGCGATTGTTTTATTTTTTGTACCAAAGACAAATGCAACTGATATGGCAAACTGCCAGTCTAAGTAAAGTTTTGCACAGCTTACATGATACTGTATGAATGTATGAATAAAAGGAGAAAAAAAAGAAAAACGAAAAGGTCAGGGTTAGGGATCTTACTGAACTGTGAATTTTATTTCTGTTTGGGTCCAATTATCTACAGAAGGAGCATCCACACATACAAATATTATTTTGCTGTTCCTCTAGTTCGCTTCCATAGTAGATAAGTTGGTGGCCATTTAGGTGTCTGTAAGTCTTTTTATTTCTGCACTTATTGTAGGAAATTTTAATATATTTCGTTTTAGTAAGCTATTGAGAAAATAGTTTTTGACCTTGAAAACTAAAGACGTTTATTTAGCTTATTGTAGTATACTTCCACCAAACAACCAAAATACAGATTATTTTTATTGTATTATGTATGTATATATATATGTAAAGAAAGAGAAAAGCTAAAATATCTAATTCTTTAGTTGCCACTTTTCCAATTGATGTATTATTGTGCATGTAATATTTTCAAAGATCAACACAAGCTTAAAACAAAAAAAAAATTTATAGATTTTTATATTTTTGTACAGGTATTTTCAAACTAGCTTCTTCAAACTTACATGTGACTTATTCTTCTTCTATCGTTTCTAGAACTGAGAGATATTAACACATTTAGTTTTTAGGTGCTCTTTTTTGCTCACATGAAACAGCTTCATTAGTCAGTGTTTTAACTACGTTAAAGCTTTACCTCTTGATGAGAAATTTCTTGTGTCAAGGCAGCATTATAAACCTTCCCCACAGATCTTTCCATCCTGTCTCTCCTACTGTTTTATTCTCAAATCTTGTAGTTTGCCTCTGAAAACTGGTGGCTTAAAAACTGTACTGAAAAAAAAAAAAAAATCCTATCTAGCCAGAGAAAAATACCAAAAATTTCAGACCTAGCTGCTGGGAAAGTATCTATTTCTCTAACTATTTCTCCGTTAACCCCCTCCCCCCCAGAGAATTTATTCTTTAATTATATTTCATCTATACAGTGTATTTCCTTTCGTTTTACTACTCCCCCTCCCCCGCGCATTTGTAAGCGATAGCACATGAAGCTATAGCTCATAAAGGTTTGATTCTAAAACACGCAGTAACAACCGAACCATGCTTACGTGCTTCTTTGACATAGTGAACTGTGATGCACCACATTTTCCGGTGTGGTTGGTGGAAATGTACCTGCTTAATGCATTCACACTGAACAGATGATAAGCTCCGACCTGATGGTTGACTAGAATGTAAGTTTGTTGTTTCAAGTTTTTCCTTGGTAGGTGGGACAAGGAAAAGCATAGGTTTGTAACTTGAAAGTGTATGAAGTTTTGACAGAGTGTGTCTGGCAAATTAAAGCGTATTCCAAAATATGGCAGTTTTGCAATCAGGTGAAAATCACTTTATGATAGAGATTCAGCTGATGAGGTTTATAAAATTGCCCCTTTATAGCTGCTCTGTTAGGAATTCTGGTTTTTGATACTTTTTTCCTGTCCGCAAACCAGAATTTGATTTTTTGGTCTTGCATTTCAAAAAAGACTTTGAATCTGTCTAGTAGATTCCATATCCTTGCATTTCAGTGTTTTATATGTACTACTTAAGTTAAATAGTTAAAAGCTTTTAAATAGTTGAGCTTTTTAATGTTGACACTTTATTTTGTACCTATTTATATATGTATGTATATCTTAGAAAAGCACTTTGTTAAAAAATTTTTGCATTTTATATGATTCCTGCCATTTGCTGCTAAATCTGGGCTGGTCAGAATGCTGCAGCGATACTTGATCTAAATAAAAACCTGGCAGTAAAATGTACAGTGGAAGTTAAATCCTCTTGCTGTTGTAACTTTATCATAAAGATGACATAGGCAAGCTGTGCGGCTTTACATTTTAACCAGGGGACTCTGTGGCATTTAAAACCGTCTAGAAATGGTTGTACTTTAATGCCAGTAATAATCTGCTTCCTCTATTGTCATTAAAATATATATGTTTAGTGTATCACACAAACCAATCTTATAAGGGTAATGTAAAAACCCCAACAATTGTACATGTTCTGTTTTTGAAATTGTGGCATGTATTTCTGGGTGAAGCTCATTAGAGGAGAGCTCTCTAAAGGTTTCTGTGTTCATACATGGTATACAGATAGCTCGTAATGAAGTCCAGAATCTTACTTTAAGTGAAGGCATTGTGAATTCACCTCAAATAAACCCATTGTTCCAAAAACGATTATATAAACTTTGACTCTAGTACTACTATGATTTAAAAACAAACAAACAAACACAAAACACAAAAAACGTTCTTCCTCGTTTCAGATACACTGGATTCTTGATAGAGTCTGTCTCCATATGAAAGCATGCTGTCCAGTTGTTCTTGTTAAGCTCTTGTCTGAGTTTTGAATTGGGTGCCACACTTTTTCGGTCAATACGATTGCTTGTACCATGTATGATTCTTGTCCTTTCCTATATCCTTCATGACAGATTATGATGTGGCTTTATATTGTGCCTTACTTGTACATTGAAACAAAATGTCTTCATTCCCTTCCACTTCCTAAATCTTTTACTTCGACCTTTTTGGTATGAGAATCAGAGCTATTATAAAAACATCATGAAGGATTTCAGATGGGTATGGTTTCAGATTCCCTCTCTTTATAGTTCTTTTATGTTTGTATGAAAGACCAGTTTTGAATGGTCTTCGATTAGGAGGGGGGAAGACGAGCAGTAATTTTACTACGTCCCTTTTTTCTGACGTTCATGAATTTGTCACACATCTTCTTTCTGATGCCTGACTTCACCTGCTCCTCAGCAATAGTCCGCATTTAAAGAAAGGTGTGTTCAGTTCATCAGCTTGAAATTGACGATTTCATTTTTCCAGAATTTTTTAGAAGAGTACCCGTTTTGTTTGTTTTATAAAACACGACAAGTCTCTTTAAAAGAAACAGAAGTACAGTACTTTTGAAATACAATGCTGTTAGTTTGGATTTCTTTTTTTATATATAATATTCATACAATTATCTGATGTTTGCCTTCATTAATAAAGCTGTTAGTTTATTCACCAAAATGTCAAGAATGGATGTGCTTTTCTTTATTCCATACATTTAAAACTATTTTAGCTGCTAAGATTTAATTAACTTTCTAAGAGACGAATTCAAGTTGCCTTCAGCATGAATTAACAAAAAACTTATGTTCCCTTTCTTTATATAGTCTTCCTGAAATTCTGTTTGAGTATTTTCTAGTTAATTATGTAACAGAATGTTAGCATCTCTCCAAATCTTGAAACTTGAATTTTGAGAATGCATCGAATTATGCTTTCAGTGTTAAAGTGAAAGGTTTCAATTATCCTTCTAGTGAAATCTATTGTGGAATACCATTTCCCATGGAACTGAGGCCATTTCCACAACTTTGCACAGAACTGCAGTCTCGTTCTTCCCTTGAATCATGACAAATAAGTCTCACACAGTGCCGTAATACTTGTGGATTCTTTTGTAATCTTTGTAATCTTAATAAGGGCATTATGACGAGATGACTCCATGTTTTTTTAATATTTCCAACACATCGGGATGTAACAATGAATGTCAACCGTAGGAATGGTGGTTTCGTTTTAAGGAATAAGCACGTCGGGAAAGATGGTGAAAATGTACTACTGAAAGTTTTACACTTCCATAGGCAGGTGGGTTATGTGTTGAAGCATAATCCTCGTGCTTAGTAAACTGACTGAAATTGTAGAAATTACACCTAGGAATTGAGTTATGCCAAATTGCCATTTTTTGTTTTGTTTTGTTTTGTTTGGAAAAGAGAGATTTGGGGGTAGTCGTGAGGGGGTAGAACCCTAACACTACTCCCAAATAGTATTTTGGAGTTGGAAGACTTGGTGACTGGCGACGAACATCAGAGCTGGGTGTTGCAGTGTGCCAAGTTCGGTGGACGAGGTTTGCCTCCTTCAGGACAATGTAAAACAATGGTGTAGTTGACGAAATTCCAGGTGGATGGGAGCGGGGCCGATGGCTGTGTCTTGCCCTTCGCCCTGTTTTTTTCTTTCAGAACCAAATAACAGAAATGTGTATGTATGTACTGTATCTGCTTTTCCACCACATTTTTATGACACTGTATTCCACTGCCTGTTTTTTTTTTTTTGTTTCGTTTTGTTTTTTTAACCTCCTTTCCCTATGATTTGTCCTTAAACTTAGCATGTGTGGTTAACAGTGATACTGGGGCCGACCGCACATAAGTCACAAGAGCAGAGCGGAAGGGCAAGAATTCAAAGCATTTGTTCATACAATGTG